AAGGAAAAGTGAATGAACAGTGAGGATCAGGGCTCAAAGGGAAGTGAGCAACGAAATGCCCTTTTTTGATCTCATGTTTGTATTCTAACAAAGTGTTGGGAGGTGATGTAAGAATACCAGATTCACACTGAGGTCTAAAGCTTTACGTATATTCTGTTCATCAAGGCTGCAGATGTGTCTCACTGACCTCGAGAGTAAAAGTAGTCATAGTGAAGAATAGTTATTCTACGAGTGAGTTATACCATGTGAGAGTGTTTCAATGTTTCATCTCACTGGCTGTAGATTGTTAATTAATGATTTAATACCGTAGCTGATGGATCCTGATAGTTTGATCAGTGGAGCTGCCTCATGTTGAACAAGCTGTGGTGGAATGTAACTACATTTACCTAAATACTGTATTGATATACAACGTTTTGTCCTCAGATGGTGAAGATTTCATGGACATACACATGAAATATTGAACATTAAAAAATAAAAATCAATTTGAAGGTGTTTGTACTTTGATTCTGCCTACTTTCATTGTATGTTACATATACTTTACAGGCAAATATTGTACTTTTTAGTCCACTACATTTATTTGACAGCGATAGATATTTGCTGATTAAAATTTTTACAAAATCTGTGGGGCTTTTATTTTGAAACGGGGGAGGGGAAAAGTCCTCTAAAAATCTCTAAGACCTGAATGACTGTGTGAGAGAGAGACACAGAGTGAAAGAGACACAGACATAAAGATAGAGGAGAGCGAGAGACAGAGGGAGGGAGACAGACAGACAGGTCTAACGATCTTGCCCTGAATAGCTCCAAGTCATGCATGTCTGTGTTTATCAACTTCACTAATTAGCTCAATCAAAAACATTTGTGTGCCTGCAGCCTTAACGTGGAGATAAAGCTGTGAAACACCTGTCAAACAAATCCTCAAAACCCCCATAAGCGTAGCTCCTATTGCTCCGATATTAAAGCTGGAGAGGAAGGATGACTTGCAGAACTGATCATGTGAAAATTGTGTCTGTAGTGTAAAAAATGTGGCTTCACTGGCGATCTAGAAACGGGGTACCGTGTTCTGTGGAAGATGTTCTTGAGGTAAGATTTAGCATTGGTCTCTATGGAGCAGATGGTTGGTTTTCCTCTCAATTAAAAGCTGTTGTGCCAAATGTGTAAATCTGTTGGATTCCACTCTCATTCTTCTAGACCAGCACACGATTAGCTAACTTTTTACCGAAAAAGAATGCATGAAGAGTGAAAATTGTGGAGTCAGTGGCAAAAGACAAATGTCTTTTTTTCACAAGAATCTCAAGCTGCTCTTCACTCTAGCAGTGACATCACGCACTCTGAGCTGTGCAATACACACCCATTGTAAAGTCAGAAAATTACTGAAAAAAAATCATAAAAGTTAAAATGTGACAGTTCAAAAAGTATTAAAGATATCAGAAAGCTTATAACATACAATAATAGCTCATGGTTTTCTCAACATTTTAAAGTTGAAATGGTGTCTGTAGCTGAAAGTATGAGGAAGAAGAAGGATTTGAAAGTTGAAGAAGTTGAGGAGGATTTGAAAATGTTCTCCATTCAAAACATTTTTTCAAAAAGCTTAAAGGTTAAAAACATCATAGCCGGCATGTCCTTAAAGAGCGGAACATTTTGATAGTTGAACGGTTTCTGTAGCTTAAGAAATGTGGAAGGAGATGCCTGCCAAAAAACGCTGAATCAGCATTCCAACAAATATGGTGTTTCAAACTCCAGTGCAGCAGGCGGCGGTATGCACCTGCTATCAGTTTGATATCTGCCATTCAAACCGAGAGAAGAAGGAGAACTCTGTTCTAACCTAACTCAGCGGAAGTAAACACAACACACTCCTAACCTGTATGCACGTGCAGGGATAGCCGACAGTGTTGTATTCGCGCATATGCATATTTAATTTGTTTTTACACAACAATGTCTTCAGTTGAGTATTTGAGAGAGTTTGTCAACGAGCGACTATCTGCTGCTGCTGAAGAAATATTCAGAGTTTTTGAAAAAACTATCTTCGAGTACCAGGAAGAGATCGACCGTCAGCGCAGACTGTTGGATATCGCTTGGAAACCTGAAATAAAGTTACACAGGATAGGTGAGTACAACTTCGTCATTGTAATACCACTAAACAGAGAAATGCCACTTAATTAAAATTGTTTAAATGTGTGCTGGTATTATCAATGCTGCGTTCACGTGGATTCAGGCAGATGGTAGACAGCAAACCAGGGCCCCATTCCTCGTACGTGGTTCTGCAAGGTCGATCAAATGTCCTATTAGCCAGCCTAAATTAACGAGATGATTGATGTCAGGCTCCGTCGGTTTCTCCAAGGCTGATCCGCTCTCAAACAGTCTCGTTAATTCGACCAGACGATCAGGATCAGGATAATTGCGCGTGCCCGTCCTACGTCAAAAGGGGGAAGCGTCGATCACCGAAACCATGATTTTCTAACAGTACAATGTTAAATAAACTCAAAGAAAGAGCCTATTTTTACTCCGCTGACGAGCAGGAGATGATCATGAACGCATATGAGGAATTCAAGACCATAATCACGGCTAAATCTAACACTGCCACCGCTGCGAGGGCTAGACAAGAAGCACGCAAAAATATCAGACAAGTTAAATGCGTAAGTGTTGGGAAATGTATCGGCTAATTGTAATGCCTCATCACCCCAATCAATCAGGTTATGTCTTTAAATGTGACTGCTGGCAGTAGGCTTAATGGCTCATTGGATGATTCTTATCATCCAATGAGATATAGCGAAAACAATTATCTCAACTCTTTCAGAATAAGTAGATAAAACAAGCCCAAAGATTATCTAATTGATACTCATTAATATGAGGATATATGTACTGTATGCGCGTATGTATCATGTAGCCTACTATATACAGTATGTGTATATACATGTCTGTGTAGATTACCATATAGAACTAGGAGTTTGAATGTGTGTGTGTGTGTGTGTGTGTGTGTGTGAATCTGTGTATGGGCGGATCAGTATGTGTGTGTATTATTCATAATCAGAAATTCAATCAATTGAAGCAGTGAAAAGAAATAGTGTGTGATTCTCTCTATTCTTATCATGAGTCCACCTTAATCATTTTCTACAATAATGATATGCTGGTGTACTAATAACACAGTCATATAATTATGAGTGCTTTTAACCCCCATGTATGCAACGCAGCCATCAAGAGGACATGGGAGCAAGTAAACACTATAAGCACACACACATTATTCAGAATGGTGAGTCAATATGTGCCATGGTAATGTAATGAACACATCCATAAGTTTATTAAGCGCCAAATAAACTTCACGAACAGCACGGCATGCAGCGGTTTTCCCGATGTTCTCCGCATCGCCGACATTGTACAAAAATGTACCACTCGCAGAACAGCGCAAGGCTGCATCCAGTGTGTGAGACAGTCAGTGCTCGGCTGCAGCGTGTGGTGTTCAATGTATGGCTCCAGAAGGTCTGTAAATAAATGATTCCTTGTCGGCAGAATCGATAGCGCTCGTATAGGAAGTCATCATGATGTGATAACGGATCTTGGCGATGTGGAAGAACTCTCTCCCTATAAAACGCTAATCTAACTAATATCCTCCTTCATCAGTGGATCTCTGAGGAAGGGAGCTGTACATTAATGCAATAGAGGCTTCTTAGTTTGCTCAGCTGGTTTTAATGGATCACCGTGTGTCTCACTTTACATGCATTTCTGGAACTCCCGTATAACCCCCAGTATATGCTCAAGCGCATTAGACTACTGAATATGACAGGAGCTGCCATTTCTTCCGGGGGAGTGACCAGCTTATCCAGCTACCCTGACTTAGCCTGCCCCGGAGCAGGTTCAAGCTTATGGATGTGTTGCCATGGTGATTTTGCCGAACTTGCTTCGTGGAACCGAAAAGCCTGATCTACGTCATCTTATCCTGAAAAGTATCCGGCTAACGGGGCCCAGGTCTTGTTAGATGAGAACAGGTTGGTAACATCAGGTGAGGCAGACAGAAAACACCGGAAACGGTACACTTGTCGTCCAAAGTTTTAAAAAAAAAGTTTTCTCTTTTTGTCATAATGGAATAATATATATTTGGTCCAACTATTTACTGACTATTGTTTTATTTAATTATTCACAGACTGTAGCGTTATATAGCTAAAACATGTGATTTATCTTAATAATCGATTGCAAACTTAAGCAACTATCTCCAGTGTGAGGGAGCTACGTAACATTCGGTTGCAAATTCTATTTATTCCAATACTGATCCCGGTATTCTCTTCCGGGTTCACCTAATTTTACCGTCCTGTCCTCGTCCACTGTCATGATATCTGGTGTGCTGTATGCCTGGTTTCATGTGAATGCACTGTTTGCATTTTTCCTTCAACATCACAGTCGTATCCTATTTATGTTGCTCTCTGTCCCTCCAGAGCTCCCACAGCAACATGTCTGTAAGGAGGAGGAGGTTCTCTCCGACCAGCAGCTCTGTATTCAGGAGAGGAACTCCAGTCTGGACCAAGAGGACCCAGATCCTCCACAGATCAAAGAGGAACAGGAGGAACTCTGCACCAGTCAGGAGGGAGAGCAGCTTGAGCTGAAGCAGGAGACTGAGACCTTCATGTTGACTCCTAATGAGGAAAGTAACCACACTGAACCAGAACCAACAAGAGACCCCCAGCTCCTCTCCAACAACTCTCATGTAGCTGAGAGCCAAGATCAGAAAGGAAGCGAGCATGAAGACTCAGAATCAACTAGTGATTCAGAGCCAGAACCAAAGAAAAGGCAACAGAAAAGCAGAAGTCACTGTAACGATATTAACAACTTGTTAAAGACTTGCAGTGATCCTCAAACAGGTAAAGCACTTTTCCAATGTGACACGTGTGGGGAAGCTTTCAAGTTCAGGTCGCATTTTGACAAACACCTGAGAACCCACTCAGATGAGAAGTCACATTCTTGCAGCTTCTGTGAGAAAAGATTCAGTAAGATATCCTCATTGAAGGCTCATCAAAAAATCCACACAAGTGACAAGCTGTATTCTTGCAAAACATGTGGAAAAGATTTTGGACGTAGTAGTCACTTGATAGTCCACATGAGAACACACACAGGTGAGAAGCCATTTTCTTGCAAAACATGTGGAAAAGATTTCAGACAAAGATGTGACATGTTGGTTCACATGAGAACACACGCAGGTGAGAAGCCATATTCTTGCAAAACATGTGGAAAAGATTTTGGACGTAGTAGTAACTTGATGGTCCACATGAGAACACACACAGGTGAGAAGCCGTATTCTTGCAAAACATGTGGAAAAGATTTTGGACAAAGTAGTCACTTGACTTTCCACATGAGAACACACACAGGTGAGAAGCCGTATTCTTGCAAAACATGTGGAAAAGATTTCAGACAAAGAGGTGACATGTTGGTTCACATGAGAACACACACAGGTGAGAAGCCGTATTCTTGCAAAACATGTGGACAAGAGTTCAGACAAAGAGGTGCCATGTTGGTTCACATGAGAACACACACAGGTGAGAAGCCGTATTCTTGCAAAACATGTGGACAAGAGTTCAGACTTAGAGGTGCCATGTTGGTTCACATGACAAGAGCCCACACTGGGGAGGA